CCAGCTACTTGGGAGGCTGAGGCAGGAGGATTGCTTGAGCCCAGGAGTTTGAGGTTGCTGTGAGCTAGGCTGACGCCACAGCACTCTAGCCTGGGCAACAGAGCAAGACTCTGTCTCTAAAAAAAAAAGTGTTAATTTGTTAAATGTAAACCTTTAAAATATACTAGAATTTTAAGCCATGTTTTGTGTTTTTTTAATTAAAAATTCCAAACTAAGAAAAGTAGAGAATATTATTTTGTACCCCATGTATTAATATATATCACTCATATTGAACAAATGCTAATAAATACTATTGAAGTACTTTTTGAACTCTTCCTCATCTCATGCCTTAACTATTTCTACAATTTTTAATAGACTAAGGATCTCAAAGGCTGAAGGGGCTTAGACCTTTTCTGATGTCTGTCATCTTGCCTCACTGCTACTGTCTGTTGGCTGCCCATCAATGCCTTTCTCCCTTCATCTTGCATGGCAGTGTATAGGTAGCAGATGGCTACAGAACAGCTAGGAGAGGGCAGAGCCAGTGTGTCATTATCAAAGCTTGGGAGGCTGGCACAGAGCATATATGTGGGCTGCGGAGAGGTGGAAGGGACAAATAAGTACCTCGAGGCCAGTCAGTAAGGTGGAAGGTAGGGAAGAGCGGGAGAGTGAATAAGGTGGATGTAGGCAAGAAAAGCAGTCTACATGTTTGACAGACATGGTGATGAGGGGTCAGCAAGAATGACCTTTTGAAGCAATATTGTGAATGTCAGATCAAAGGATTTTAGGTCTTTTCTGTCCAGGTTTTCTGCTCTTGCTATATGAATGGTATAGCTAGGGAGAAGCTATGGGTAAACTCTCACTACATCTTATTTGGACGATTTTAGGGGTGTCATTAATGGCAATGCCTGCCATTTCTTCCTCTGTGGCAAGCCTGCAGTTTCTTCTCCTTCCAACCAGTTCTTCATAGGACTTATATTTGATAAATTCCTTCTTTATTTAAAAACTTTCCATCTGTTCCATTGTCTGGAATAAAGCCCTGGCCTCTTGCTGTGGCATTTGAGGTCATTCATAGCTCCTCCTACTCCTCTCACATACCTTGAGTTTAAGCTGTGTATTTTCTTCCCTTGGTGATTTTGCTTGAACTCATCTCTCCAAAAAGCTCGAATTTGCTCTCCCTGTCATGTGTGTGGTGAACTCCTATTCACCTTTTAAGATCAGCTCATGCCTTTAGGCGGATGGAATAAGTCTTTTTTTGTAATTGTTCACTTGCACTTTGCGTCTCGTGCTAGAATCTGAGTTTCTTGAAAGCAGTGATGACATGCCCCATCTTTGCATTCATTGCTGCTAGCACAGAGCCTGGCCCTCAGGAAATGTTTGCTGAATTGAATTAATAGGCAGTTCAAGCAGTTTTAGCCATTTTTTTAATTGGTGGGAAAAAACCCTGCACGGTATACATTTTGATTTTCTGCAGTCACAGTCATTGAATTGTGAGACTGAAATTGGGAAACTGAAATTTGGAAGTTTGGGTAGGAAACATTTCTGCACCTTTGGCTAAAGAAAGGGAATCTTTTATGGTTTGTTGTATACTTTGTAATATTCACAGTCATGTTTCATTTACAAATTTGCCTCATTTACATATGTGATGTATTGTTGGCATGATCTTGGCTTATGGTTGACATTTTGCTTGGATCTTAGTAAAGACTTCATAAAATATCAAAGAGAAGTATAGATTTTGTAGCATCGATAGCTGCTGCTTAGCTGTGACCTCGATCAAAAGGCTAGCTGAGGGTAACTATTCAGATAGATAATTAAGCCAGCTGAGTTGGGAATGGGGCTAGAATTTATAATTAATAAGTTTTTAAAACCTTCTCTTATTCTTTCTCCCTGCCTTTAGGATTTTTGTCCCTGAGTCATGGAAGACAGAAGAGCTGAAAAGTCATGTGAACAAGCATGTGAATCACTTAAGAGGCAGGACTATGAAATGGCCCTCAAGCACTGTACAGAGGCCCTTCTTTCTCTAGGCCAGTACTCCATAGCAGACTTTGCGGGGCCTTGTCCATTGGAGATAGAACGCATCAAAATTGAGAGTCTTCTTTACAGAATTGCCTCATTCTTGCAACTGGTAAGTATACACTGTTGATAAGCCAGCGCTGAACTCCATAAAATGGCCTTTTTCACTGAGTGGGCACTATACAAATCAGCTAATTCTGAGCTGAAGAGATGTGAATGAGTTGGCTGGTGATTGCTGAATATCTTTGATGACAAGCAACTATGTTTTTGAACTTTGAAAATTATGCTATTCTATAACATTTTTGATTATTCATTAATTCAACAAATATTATTGAGTATATACTACGTGTTATCCTCTGTTCTAGGTACTTGGTATATAGATGAAAACGGAAGAGAAAGATCACTTCTTCATGGTGCTTTTTCTAGGAGGGGGATAGAAAATAAACAATAGATATTATAAATAATAAACACTATAGATTGCTGAAAGGTAGTAACTGCATGGAAAAAGGAGAACAGGCCAAGGGAGATTGGAATTACGTGAGTTAGAGATGGGGTTGGTCAAGGTAGGCCTCACTGAGAAGGTGAGAAGAAGGAGGTAAGGGGACGAGCCATGTGGAAATCTGGAGGAAGAGCATTACAGGAGAAGGGAACAATCAGTGCAAAGACCCTGGGGCAGAAGCATGCCTGCTGTGTTTTAGTAACGGGTAGGAGGCCCTGTGGCTGGAGTAGAGTGCATGAAGAGGAGAGATAAGAGGGTCTTTGGGGCCTTTTAGATCATTGTAAGGACTTTGGTTTTTGTTCTGTGTGAGGAGGGGAGGTGTTGCAGAGCTTTGAGCAGAGAAATGACACGATCTAATTTAACAGGAATTGTTTGACTTTTGTGTTGAGAATAGACTATAAAAGGATAAGAATAGATGCAAGGAGACTGGTTTGGAGACTATTGGAATTATCCAGGCCAGAGTGGCTCAGACCAAAGTGGAAGCAGTAGAGATAGTGAGAAGTAGCTAGGTTCTGGTTTATAAGTTGAAGGTAGAAGTAATAAAGTTTCCTAATGTATTGAATGCAGGGAATGAGAGAGAGCGGTCATGATTACTTACCTTAACGTTTTTTTTGTGTGTCTGAACAATTGGAATAATGAAATTTCCTTCAGCTTAGGTCAGAAGGCTATAGCTGGGGAGCAAATTTTGTTGGGGAGGTTGGGAGTTCAGTTTTGCACATAATTGAGTTTGAGATGCCATTCAGATATCCAGCTGGAGATGTTGAATAAGCAGTTGTGTGTGCCAGCACGGAGTTTGGGAGAGGGAGATTGAGAGTCTGTGGGATAGAGGTGCTGTATAATGTCTTGAGCCTGGGTAAAATCACCAAGGGAATGAGTGTCAGTAGAGAAGAGGAGAGGACCAAGGGCTTAGTCTTGTGGTACTACAGTGTTAACAGGTTGGGAGAAAAGGAGGAACCAGCAGGAGCCTGAGGAGCAATCCCTGAAGTAAAGGAAAAATAAGAGAGTAAGGTGTCCTGCTAGCCTCAGGAAGAAAGTATATCAAAGGGAGGGAATGTTCAGTAGTGTCAGTGGCTGGGAAAAGAGATGTGGCAATGTATGCAAATGGGTACATGTGAATGCAGACTCTGCATCCAGCTGGGTACAGTGCAGGTCAGTGGTGACCTCAGTGACAGCAGCTTCCTTGGACTGGTGGGTGAAAGACTGATTAAGGAGGGCTTAAGAGAGAATTAGAGGAAGGAATTGAAATACATTAAAATAGACAACTCTTGAGGAATTTTGCCACAAAGAGGTACAAAAATAAAAAAGGGGGAAAGAATGAAAAGTAAAAGGAATGGTAGTTAGTGGGAGAGGTGAAGTCAAGAGAAGGATTTTTTTAGATATGAGAAATAACAGCATATTTCTTTGTAGGAATGAACCAATCAAAAGCAAAACATTAATGGGTAAGGAGAAATAGAGGAGGCTTGCTGGAGTGCTGTTCTTGCGTAGGTGGTAGAGGGGATCTGCCCAAGTGGTAGAGTTGACTTTAGAAAGGAGCATGGAGAGTTTATCTGGTCAACAGGTGGAAGGAGGACAGAATGTGTGCTGGGAGCAGATAGATATGGTGGTGATGGTGGAAATTCTCTTCTGGGGGCTTTGGTTTTCTCAGTAAAGCTGAGGGGGGTGCTGGCGAGTTGAGGTTAGAGAAGGTGAGAAGTAGGAGTAGAGTCAGTGGACTAGGAAACTGTACTAT